AAGTGAATGCGTGTGTGTGTGTGAAACAAAGTGAATGCGTGTGTGTGTGAAACAAAGTCGGGAACTTTGGGGTTACAGGAGAAGGGCGTCTCCCATCTTCCCACCACAGCAGAACTGCTGGCCCTTTATGCCACATCCCTTTCGGGAGCCATGTGGCAGGAGGTCTCCAGCTCACCTCTTCTGTGACTAGCTGAATGCAGTCAAAGCAAGAAACCTGGCATGAAGCACACCCGACATATTTACCTAGTGGATACGTTTGCCCTCTAGCAGGTTGGGCAGGGCCGTCTCAGAGGAGAGCCCGCACTGGGCCTGGAGTGTGGCCGTGCTGTGGCACATCTCTGGGCCCAGCCGGGCCCCCGGGTGTTGCAGAGAAAGAGGCAGGCCCGCACAGCCAAAGCTGCTGCAGGGTTCTCTGCCGCCGCTTGCTTGCAGTCTCGCAGGGAGGGTTTCAGGTGAGTAGTGCTGAGCTGCAGTAAACTCCCAACAGGAGACTCGGGAAGAGGAGAAGCAGAGAGAGCCTTCAGTGCGACACCAGGTGTCCTGTGCAGTCTCTGAGAACAGCAGCCCTGGAGAGTCGGGGTCGGGGATCTGGCTTCATTGTCCTTGCTCTGCTCTCTTCTTCCCCCATACATGTCCCTTGGTGTAGCCTCAGGGGATCTCCTCGCGACGACCTCGTCACAGGGTGGTTGTGCCCTGGTGATGAGGGAGTGAATGTCTGGGAGACCTGGTCACAGGAGAGAGTGGTCCCGTCAGGGGTCGTAGTTCACGTCCTCCCGGGAGGCTCTGACACACCAGGCCCCATTTGCCTGAAGCTCACCGGCTTCCGTCAGGCCCCATGCCCGGGGTGAGAGTCACCTTAGGGTCGTGATCACCTACAACCAGGCGAGGTTGGGCATTGGGGTTCCCGTTGCCAGATGCCCACTTCTCCAGGAGGACTCCCTGGGGTCTCAGTCGGATGACTTATGGATCTTCTTAGTGCTCACGTCTGACGTCGGCCCCTGCCTGTTCACGGCTGATGGCCTACCGCACAGTGATAAGGGCAGCGCTGGGCCAGGAGGACTGACCCTCCTCCCTGGCCTCTGGAGCAGGCCGGTGGTTCGCCCCGTCAGCCTCCTCTGTGATTGTTGCAGCTCACCCGAACTGAGGTGTCCCCTAGCATTCAGCTGAGTTGTTACAGACACCCACTTCCTTTCCCCCTCTGCTTTCCATATCTAGTCCATCACAAAGTGCCACCGTGACCCACATTCCCGTAAGCAGGTTTTGACCAGACAGACTGGATTTTGGTCAGTGTGCAGCACTGGCCAGTGGGGAGACGCTGAGTGTGCAGGCCGCTGTTGACTGTAGGTCCTGGACATGCGATGGTGCTGATGCGCACCCACAGTGTCCTTTTACTTCTTTTAATGGAATTGGGCTTTACATTGGATCCAGATATAAGTACTCTTTTAATTTTTTCTTTTAATTTTAGCAAGCTGAAAAACTTGGAAGGGAAGATCAGCAAAGACTACATCGAAACAGAAAACTAGTCCTCATGGTTGATTTGGACCAGACCTTAATTCACACGACAGAGCAACACTGTCCACAGATGTCAAACAAAGTGAGTACTGTCATCTGTTCCCAACGTGGCTCTCCTAGAAGCCACCGCTCCCATAATTCAGTGTAAGAGTACGTTGTCTTGGGGCTGGGGTTGAGGCTCAGTGGTAGAGCGCTTGCCTAGCATATGTGAGGCACTGATTCATTTCTCAGCACCACACACAAGTAGATAAATTAAAGGTCCATCAACAGCTAAAAAATATTTTTTAAAAAGAGTACATAGTCTTGTTTTTAATACTTCTATAGGTCACCCTGTGTTTGAGGAGCAGATTAGCCAGTGTAGACATGATCTCGTGCTGCAGTTCACTGTGTCTGAGTTGTGGTAATTATCCTACGTGGTTGTTAGGTCCTAAGGGAAAATCACATCACCATGGGTGGTTAGCAGTTACCAGTGATAGTTAACTGTCACCATGTGTGGTTAGCAGAAGTAGTCACCATAGGTAATAGTCATAGGCAGTTGTGGGTGATTGTTATGGTTACCAGGGGTAGTTACCCCAGGGAGCTGTGGTAGTTACCCCAGGGAGCTGTGGTAGTTATTATGGGTAGTTGTTAGGTCCCGAGGGACTGTCACCATGTGTGGTTAACATGGTTATAAGTGGCAGTCAATCATCACAATGGGTAGTTGGTAGTTACTATGGGTAGTTAGCAGAAGTGATCACTTTAGGTAATTGTGGGTGATTGCATGGTTATGAGGGGTAGATACATCGGGAGCTGTGCTAGTTGTCAGGTCCTGGTGGTTAGTGTGCTTACAGGGCAGTTGGCTTCAGTGGGTGTCAGCCTGCACTTCCTCAGTCATGAGTGTGAAAGGTTTTCCCCTGGTGTGTATCAGTGCTGGCTACTGGCTCCTCCTGAGGTCCTGGTTGGGCCCTGCAGTTCTCGAGATGACCAGCACCTCGCCAGGGTAACTTTTCCTCTTCAGGAGAGGATAAGCCCCCTGAGAAATAGTGAAGTCTGAAATAGTGAAGAAATAAGAGACAAAGTCAGAGAATCGGGGTGTTTTTGTTTTTGTTTTTTGGCTTTTTTAGTATATTTTTTATTTTTAGGTGGACATAATATCTTTATTTTGTTTTTACGTGGTGCTGAGAATCGAACCCAGTGCCTCGTGCATGCTAGGCCAGCGTGCTACCACTTGAGCCACATCCCCAGCCCAGAGAATCAGTTTTAAAAGCAGAGTGCCTAGGCTGGGGCTGGGGCTCAGTGGCGGAGCACTTGACTAGCATGTGTGAAGCACTGGGGTCCATCCTCAGCCCCACATGTAAGTTAACAAACGTATAAAATAAAGGTACTGTGTCCATCTACAACTAAAACCCAATGAATAAAGGCACTGTGTCCATCTACAACTAAAAAACATTTAAAATAGAATGAAGCAGAGTGCCTGACAGAGTCTTCTAGTCCTGGGAGGAGCTGGAACCCAACAGTTAAAAAATGGCTCCAGTTATTCAAGGGAGAGGATCAAAGGAAGGGATACGGTTTCAGCAGGCGGAGTCTTTGTGTATGGTGTCTTGCAGTCAACAGGTTGGTGGGCATCTTGACAAGCCACACTCACCTCTGAGAGGCTTGGGGACCTTTGGGCAGAGCTGAGTAGGAGCTCCCATGTGTCTGGGCGTCGCACCAGCAGGATTTTCCTATTCGACGGCTCTGATGCCGGTTTGGTCCATGCACCGTTCACAGATGGCTCCCGACACTGGAGCTCGTCTGCAGACTCCTGCCGAGCCGCAGTCGCAGGTGCCCGCAGCCTGTGCGCGCTCTCATGGCCCTGTGGTCCTTGCAGGGCATCTTCCACTTCCAGCTGGGTCGGGGTGAGCCGATGCTGCACACCCGCTTGCGCCCGCACTGCAAGGACTTCCTGGAGAAGATCGCCAAGCTGTACGAGCTGCATGTCTTCACCTTCGGCAGCCGGCTGTACGCACACACCATTGCAGGTCAGTTGGCTACTGCAGGACCAGCAGTGGGGTCAGGGCTGCCCATCTGTGGGCATCTTCAGGGACAGGATGTTAGCTTAACGATGAGGGCAGGAGAACACAGGCTCAGTTCTTGTGTTAGCAGCAGGACGTTGGTAGGTGAGAAATTCTGCTGTGGCAGCCGAGTGCTCTGGCCAGGAGGCACCGAGTAGGCCAGTGTGCAGGACCATGGGTGCGTGGGAACAATGGTGGGAATGTGCTTTCTGAAACTGTTTTACTGAAGGCTTGCACAGCTCCCGAGTAGCTGAAGGAGGGCCTCTGGCGCCCGCCACTGGTCTTGGCTGCACTTGAGCTGCTCTGCAGTGGCTTCCTGCACTGGGTCCTGTGCGGAAGACCGTGTGACCCCCGTGTGCTGCTGCCACACAGGGCCAGGGCAGTCCACAGAAAGACAGTGTGGGGAAGGAGGGGCTGGGTACCGCAGTCAGGACCTGTGTCACACTACAAAGCAGGTGTCCTGTCCGGGCTGGGTGCCCGGCAGGGGGCTCTGTGGGGACAGCAGGCAGGAGTCCCACTGCCCCAAGTGGGCATGCATGCTGAGGCGTGGTGACTGCACCTTGGCAGCAGCTGCAAAAGCCTCTTCAGTCAAGTACTTAGAAACTCTCAAGGTTCACTTTGTTTTGGGTTTTGATTGGTGATAAAGAACTGAATTTCTAGATTTCTAGTCTCCCTTTAGTATTTAGTGCCTTTGTAGGAAATTTTTTTAAATAGTTTTTTTATCTTTTTTTTTTTTTTTAGAGCAGCATTAGGTTCACAGAAAAATTGAGCAGAGTGCAGAGACTCCCCATGTACCCCCACATACACGTGCTCCGCCTCCCTCAGGTCAGCATCCACTGCAGGGTGGTGTGTCTGCCATGATGGGCTGCCTGCGTGGGGGCTGTTCATCAGGACAGGGAGCAGCGTGTTAAAGTGAGCTCGTCTTGTTTTGTCCTTGATGTGTGGCTGTAGTGTAGCCGAAGCCTGAGAGGCAGGACGGGACTGTGTGTTTAAGCTAGTTATTTTCCACAGTCCCTGTGTGCACCCTGGAGTCGTCTTCTCGGGGACATCAGGACGTTCGATGGGTCTGAGCTTTTGGAGCACAGTGAGGGTGAGCATGTGGCAGGCCCAGTCGACCTAGAGAGGGTCAGTGTCAGCAAAGCCGCATTCCCGGCTTTCATCCAGTCACACCCTTCTCCTCAGCCCCTTGACACGGGGTGTCACCCAGAGAGCCTGGCCTCAGGGAGACCTCTATCCAGAGGGGCTGGGCCTTGTTGCAGGCAGACTGGGCTGGAGAAGTGTGGCTTTCCTTCCATGGAATGTCCACTGGGTGGCAGCAGTTCACACAGGGAGGAAGCAGACATTTTCTAGGTCAGATTTTTGCAAGTGAGAAACTTGCAAAGAAGCAAGGTTTTTAACAAAGGTGGCTACTAAGTGTCCTCTTTTATCATTCCTTTAGTTTTCAGAGTTAACTGCTTACAGAATGTGTACTTGGGTGATAATTAGGATACAAATGTTAGCAGTTTGAATACTCTTCCCTTATTGTAGAGACTGTTAATTCTATCACCACTGGGTAGCTTCAATGTTCACAGGGAATTTACATTACAAGTATATGGGGTGACTTATTTCTTCTGAAAAAGCAAGCGTTTGGTGCTAATGAAATGCTAAGGGTGGGTGATCTGGGAGAAGTGAGGCCTGCCAGGGCTGCATTCTAACATCAGGAGGTAGTGGATGCTCAGGACACAGAGCCCCCTTCCATGAGATCGTCTGACCCCCCCGTGTGCTGCTGCCCACAGAAAGCCAGTGTGGGGAAGGAGGAGCTGGGCACTGCAGTCAGGACCTGTGTCACACTACAAAGCAGGTGTCCATGTGCATCTGGGCACCCAACAGAGGCAGTGGAGTGAGATGTGACCCAAAACACCAGTCTTCAAAGAGCAGGTCATATTGCAGTGTGGGTGTAAGAGTGCCTCCCGGACATCTGGCTGAGCGTGCTCTTGCCCGCGGCTGCAGCGAGGTCCAGGAGCCACACCCCCTCTGGACTGCTGTCCTCTCCATCAGGGGTTCCCTGTGCTCTGAAGTCCACTCCGAGTCTTCTGCCTGGCAAGACTCTAGGCAGGGCAAGCCAGCGAGCGGCCCTGGGCAGGCTGCCCCGCCTGCCGAGGGCCGGGTTCCTGTCTCCTGCACATGCTGGGTTTGTGCCCGTTCTTTGCGGGGCTGTATTATTGCCATGGGTTTCCCCAGGTGCCTTAAATGGCAAGTGACGTTAAGTTGCTCAGCTGGCATTGAACCTGGACCACCAGTGTCTTCACCCCAGGAGATGACGTGAGAAACCTGCTTTGTTTCCGGCTACTTCTCCTGCTTCCACAGACCGGAATAGTTTTACTGTCCTGTTTTTCTGTGTTCTCTGTATTAAAACGGCATGTCTGATTATTAAATAACGTAGATGTAAACTTTGCAGCCTTACTAAATGTGATGTTTGGTACAGTGCAAGCAGGTACTTTGATAGGAAATTGATCCTTTGCCGACTGTTAGTATGTAACGTAAAGCTTACTACCTTCTCAGTTCCCCAGGCCAGTTTCCGTGATGTTGCTTAAGTTTGCAGCACTGGGAAGTGGTGCATGCCAGTAGGAAGTGGTTGCAATGACCCTGCTCTGTGTTTCTGCTTTGTAGTGTGTGTGTGTGTCAGTTCAGCAGCTCCCCCGGTCTGCAGTTCTGCGTCCACAGAGAAGGGCAACTCTTGTATTACCTTGGGGTCTCAGGTACCCATGGCTGAAAGCAGTCAACAATTGATAGGCTTTAATCGTGCCATTCTGAATGGGGATGCGGCTTGGCCCCTTGACTGGTGTGTCCATGGTGATGCACTGCCCACTTCATGGCCACTTGGTAGCCATCGCAGTCATCAGATTGACATTGCGGTATCAGGGTGCTGTGTTCCAGTAACACTTTCCTTAGTAACAGCCTCAAAGCCGAGGAGCAGTGGTGCTGGCAGTTCAGGTATGCCAGAGAGCCAGAGGTATGCTCTGCACCACTGCTTGTGGTCACAGGCAGGAGTGCCAAGGAGTGCCCCAGGTGCTTGAGAGAGACCATGTCCACCTTGCTGTGGCAGCATGTTGCTGCGGTGGCTTTGCTTTGTCATTTTGTGAGTCTCTCACTGCCCCGTGTACAGGCTGAACTTTATCACATGTCTGTGTGTATAGGGAAGACACAGGCAAGGTCTCGGTGCCACCCAGGTTTCAGGCACCGCCGGTACCCCTGTTGGTGTTGGGGAAGGTGGAGGGGCTCCCGTCAGGCAGTCAGGCAGCTTAGCCCTCAGACCTCAGAGGCGAGGAGCCCCCATCACCTGTGCCTGAGACGGGGACGTTCCCTCACTTCACCACAGCTCTGTCTAGGTCAGTTAGCTTGGTTAGGCAGTGGTTTCAAATTAACAGCACTGCAGACACACACACGCTTCATTCTGGAGGAATTGAAGCCCAGGGTTTGAGCATAGGAGACCGTGTAAGTGGTCTCACCTGGGAAGAATGCGACTTGCTGGCACCATCGCCGGGCATGTCCGCTGGGGTGGGGCGACGCTGGTGCGTGGTGCAGAGGGGCACGTCTGCCCCCAGGTGTGCAGTTCTGTCGGTTTTCTTTCACAGGCTTTCTAGACCCTGAGAAGAAGCTTTTTTCCCACCGGATCTTGTCGAGGGATGAGTGCATCGACCCGTTTTCTAAGACAGGAAATCTGCGGTATGTGCCAGGCAGGGCCCGTCACTGAGCAGGGCCCCATTTGGCTTCTACTTTCAAAGTTGCATTTTGAGAACCAGAGTGAGGGTTCTGGAGTTGCGTCTTCTGGGAGTTGGCCGATCTTCAGCAGTGGCTGTGGAGAGCCACAGGCGCCTCCTCCCCCTGAGCCCTGCCCTGTGTCCAGAGTCCCCTGTGCTCTGCTGCTCTGCCCCAAGCGGCACAGTGGCCATCTCACCCTGCACTCGTGGCCCCACAGCCTGCTGTTGAGGCTCTGCGTCACTCTCACTTCACATAGGCCTGGGGACAGTGCTCCAGGTCCCACGCCTGTGCAGAGGGCCTCCTGGACCCGGCTCCAGAGGCAGGCAGTGGACTTCCCACTCTAAAGTTACCACCTCTTTTCTGCTGGGCTCCTGGGGAACTTGGGAACCTGACTGCACAGGGTTGAGCCTGGCCCCATGGCTGGACGCCCGAAATGTGTACTGTCTGGCCCTTTAAGAAAAGGGTTGCCTCCTGTTGTCAAGGAGAATTGGAAATAGTGCTGCCGGTCTGACTCCTTTGATGTGACTCTCTGGAACCACCAGGGGTGGGAGCTGAGTAAAGGTCCCCTCCTCTCGTAAACCTGCTCTGCTCGAGGCGTCTCCTCAGCAGAACAGAGCGCTGCGCCCGCTGGTCACTGCTTGGTGCAAATCGCCTGTTTTCTCTTGTAGAAACCTCTTTCCCTGCGGGGACTCCATGGTCTGCATCATCGATGACCGAGAAGATGTCTGGAAGTTCGCCCCCAACCTGATAACTGTGAAGAAGTATGTGTATTTCCCAGGCACAGGCGACGTGAACGCACCCCCTGGGCACCGGGAGTCTCAGGCGAGGAAGAAAGGTGGGCAGTCTCCTGGCGCGCCTCCCAGAAGCCAGCGCTCTGCTTCAGTGTCTGTCTCTCCTCTCGTCCTGTCTCTGTTTTGGCTGCTGTAAAGTCAAGATCCACTTTTTAAATTTATGTTGCAATTTTATAGAATTTGCTTATATCTCAGTTTTATTTGGGGCTTATGTGATACTGAAGGTCGGGGTAATTAAAATCGGTATCTTCTTGGTCAGGTGAGATTCTAGATGCTTCTCAGCACCGGGCACTGCAGCTCGTCCAGTTTTCCTTAAAGCCTCCGCATTCCTCAGAGGGTGTGAGAGGTGGGTGCAGGGGCTCTCTCATGAGGATGCCCAGAGCTCAGGGCCCTGGCTGTGCCCTCCTGGAGTCCGCAGGGAACCATGGACCTCTCAGGCACGCTTGAGGCAAAGCCTGTTGAGGAGACGTGATTTGGTTTTTTGTTTTTGTTGTAATTTTTTAAAGATATTTTTGTAGTTGTGGATGGACAGCGTGCCTCTGTTTTGTTTGTTCTTTTTTTTGTAGTGCTCACATATGCTAGGCAAGTGCTCTGTCGCTGAGCTACGGCCCCAGCCCCTTGATTTGGTTTTCAGAGTTTCTGTTGGTCTCTTGAGTTTCAAAGCAGGACATCTTGAGGCACGCGTCACTGCTGTAGTCACTGAAGTAGAACTTAGAGGTCAAGGCCAGGGGAAGGTGGTGCTCAAGGGCCCCTGGCAGGGTGTGTGGCGGGGACCTTCTCCTGTAAAGCCAGGGCCCGTGTGGGTGGAAGGGCGCCAGGTCGGCGTGGCCGCACCCTGGGCGTTGCTGCTGGCTCCTGACAGGTGGGTGGTTGTGGTGTGGGGAGGCGCGTGCTCAGGGTTCAGAACTGCCGAACGGCGGGTGACAGGAGCCCTTCCCTTTGTGTGCACATTTCAGTAAACCATTCTTCTAAAGGCGCCGATGTCTTGGAACCAGCCCCGTCTGTGAAAGAGCCCGAGGAGGGCAGACCCGTTGCCGGGGCAGAGCGGAGCAATGGCCTGGGGAAGCCCACCCGAGAGGTGAATGGCAGTGAGGCTGCACTGGGAGCGTCTCCCAGCAAAGCAGATGAGAGGGACGCCTGGCCCTGTCCCCGGGCCCCTGGTGGCCGTGAGCTGGCCGAGGCTCCCGAGCCCCAAGCCCAAGCCTCCTGTGAACAGGGAGGCCGGACCTCACCAGGGGCCCAGCCCACACAGGGCGCCTCCAGCCCGGAGTTGGATTTTGACTTGTCCAGTGACAGCGAGAGCAGTGAGTCGGAAGGCCCCAAGTCGTCCTCCTCGACCTCTGAGGGGGAGAGTGAGAGGAGGAGCCGAAAGAGACCTGCAGCTGCCCGCGATGGCGCCAAAGCCGCACAGCAGGGAGGTCCGCCTGACACGGGCGGGGAGAGACTGGCAGGGGCAGGCCCCCCTGGAGAGCCAGGGCCCAGAGTCCACACACAGGACAAAGGGCCAGACCTGGACGGGCAGGAGGAGGGTGAGCGAGACGGCCTCTGTGGCCTGGGCAATGGCTGTGTGGACAGGAAGGAGGCAGAGACGGAGTCCCAGAATAGCGAGCAGTCGGGCATCACCGCCGGCGAGTCCCTAGACCAGAGCATGGAGGAGGAGGAGGAGGACACGGACGAGGACGACCACCTGATCCACCTGGAGGAGATCCTGGTGCGTGTGCACAGGGACTACTACTCCAGGTACGACAGGTACCTCAACCAGGAGCTCGCGGAGGCTCCGGACATACGCAAGATCGTGCCAGAGCTCAAGAGCAAGGTGTTGGCGGACGTCGCGGTGATATTCAGTGGCTTGCACCCAACCAACTTCCCTGTGGAGAAGACCCGTGAGCACTACCATGCCACGGCCTTGGGGGCCAGGGTCCTCACCCAGCTGGTGCTGAGCCCCGACGCCCCTGACAGGGCCACCCACCTGATCGCAGCACGGGCTGGTAAGTGCCCCCCACGTTCTGCGGGCGCAGCAGGCCAGCCGCGCGCTCTGGGTGGTCGAGGCCTGCCTGCACCCGATGGCAGTCCCTGTCCTGGAGGCTGGCGTGGCTGTGCGTGGCCCAGTGCGCGGTCAGGCACACTTTCTAGAACGGGGACCTGTGAGAGCGGGTGGGTGATTCCCTTTGGCGGACTTCTTGGCCCGGGTGCATTCTGTGGGCCTCTGCACTGTCGGCTGGCCGCTGTGGGTCCTTTGAGCAGTCGCTTTGCTGCTCTGGGATGGTGGCGCTCTCTCCAGGAGCAGTGGGAGGGAGCCAGCCAGAGGCTGCGTGCCTCAGGGAGCAGGCGAAAGACGAGTAGCCCTCTGAGAAAGCCAGTCGGAGCAAAGAGAGCATTCGCTGTAGGCAGGAAAGGGGAGGACCCCCTGGAACTGGGTGCACCTCCTCTGGCTTCCGAGACCTCAGCCAAGGAGGACGGAACCCTGGAGTGACGGGCGAGCTTGCAGGGATGCTCACCCCAGACGCGTGAAGACTGCCAGCTGCCTCAGCCTTGCCTGTCACAGCTGCTGTCAGCGAGTCAGGGCTGCGGACGCTTGGCTTCACCTCAGGCCTGTTTCCACGGAGGCCGGCGTGCTCCTGTTGGATGCTGTGCAGAGCCTTGGGTCATAGTGTGGAGGGCTCCCACCACCGTGTGCCGTGCTCAGGGTCAGAGGCAGGCTCTTCTCCCAGCCAGATCCCCTGCCCGGAGAAGGCGCGGGGGGCCCAGCCTCCACCCTCCACCTGCGGGTAGAGGAGGTGTGGCTCAGGTCCCTTGCTTTTGTACCCGAGTGCTTCCACCTGTGGCTGTTGCCCGCGGCCACCCAGCACCTGACCCGCAGCTTCTCCTGCGCGCTCTGGGCTTGTTCCCTGTGGCACACCCTCGTCCTCTTGGCTCTTGTGTTCAGGATTCACGTGAGGTAGGCAGCACCTCGTCCTGCCTCACAGCACAGGGGTTGTGCCGCCAAGGGAAGTGACTGTCCTAAAGACCTAGCTGACCAGAGCTGCAGCAGCCACCTCAAGTCACAGGGGTGGGACAGGCTCAGCAGGAGCTCAGGTGGAAGCCTCAGACTAGGGGACACTCAGGATGCACGAGGGGGAGGACAGGTCCTCAGGAGGCCACCCAGGTGCTGGAGTAGAGCTGAGAGCCCGTCGGGTCCCTTAGAAGATGGTGGCATCTGGTGGGATGATGACGGCAGGGCTGCAAAGAGAGGGACAGGTGTTCGTCCCTGCGGACGGCTCTTTGGAGGGGCTGGGTGCAGTTGCGAGGCCCTGGTAGTGTGTGGAGGGAGAGCTCGAGGTCCTGGTGGTGGTGAGATACACAGGTCCTGCCCCTGGAGGCCGAGTCTCGGGCAGAAGGAGGCGATGCTGCGGGGACCTGGCCTCTCAGGGTCCCTCCTCTTGGCTCCTCCTGGTCCCTTCCCCAGGGTGTCCTTGCCCTGGGTCTGTCCCAGATGCCCTCCCCCTGCTGCAGGGAGAGCCTGACAGTGGTCTCCACAGGCACGGAGAAGGTGCGGCAGGCACAGGAGTGCAGGCACCTGCACGTGGTCAGCCCCGACTGGCTGTGGAGCTGCCTGGAGCGCTGGGACAAGGTGGAGGAGCAGCTCTTCCCGCTCACGGAGGACGACGCCCGGGCACACAGGTGGGTGCTAGGCCATGCCCCGCCCTGAGCTGTCCACCCATCAACAGGTACCTGACCACCACCGGCCTGTGGGTGTGGCTCTGCCTCATCTCCCAGCAGGCCCGTTTCACAGAGGATCAAATGAGGTCTAAGTCGGTGAGGGGAGCTTGCTGCTGGCCAGTGTCCCCGGTCCATGCCACCTGGCCCCCAAAGCTGCTCCTGAGCGCTGGTGTGTTCTGCACCACCTTTGCCCCATCCCTCAAGAAAGTGACCCCTCCCCGCCCGTAAATTCGGACAGACTGAGGAAGCCTGTGTGCAGTCATCAGAATCAAGAAGCGGAACTGCTTTCTCTGTTTGGGTGAAGCGCGATGTGGCTTTTAGTGGTGGATCTTAGCTTGCGTGCCCCGAGGGCCAGGGAGTACTGCGCGTTAGGTAAAAGCACTTTCCAGATGAGCAGACCGAAGAAAGGGCGGGCAGGGCCGGGCATAAAGGGTCGGTGCAGAGGCTGTCCTCCGTGTCTCCCGGGGAGCCACTCGAGGGTGAGTGTGCCTGCTGCTGGGCCACAGAGGCAGGGTGCCCTCGGCCCCACGAGGGGCCACTCCCCAGGCAGCCCCACTGTGCTGGTGAGGAAAGCCTGTGTCTCCACAGCACACAGGGGCTGCTCTTGCACACCCTCCATCAAGGAACCCAACCAGGAGCCAGAGGCTTTGGGAACCATGTGCCTGGGCAGTGGACATTGGTGGTCCTGCATGCTGTCCCCCCTGGTCTGTCCCTGCATCATGCCCATCATGCCCTGTGTCCCTGTGCCCCACGTGGGCATGGCTATTCTCACGGCCCTGCTCCTGCCCTCGACAGGGAGAACAGCCCTACAGCCTTTCCTGACAGGCACAGCCTGCTTCCAGCAGCCTTGTTCCACCCCACGCCCGTCCACCCCAAGGCCCAGCCTGGCCCCGAGGTCCGGATCTATGACTCCAACACAGGGAAGCTTATCAGGACAGGTGCCCAGGGCCCTACACCAGCACCCGCCGGCTCCCTGCCTGTCCACGGGGAGTCGTCCTCCTTCAGGTAAGCGTGGCGCCTGAGGCCGTCTGGGTTGTAAGGCGTCCACCCCATTAGGTGATCGTGTCAGCTGCCACGGTGTGGGCAGGGATGCTGAAGGTTGAGTTCAGTGTGTGCTGGCTCCTGGGCCGAGGGCAGCAACTCAGTTGGTGGGCACTGGGGCTCTTCTGTTCATTTCTCTGCCCCCTCTTGGGTTCCAGAACAGAAAGCAGAGAACTTGTGTGGATCCTCTGGAGCACCCTTCATAAGCCCTGCCCCTCCTTGTGGCCCTGCACGTGTGTCGGGTGCCCCCGGACAGCCCTGTGGGGTGGTGCTGGCTCTCTCTGATGCCCTCCAGGCCTAGCCTTGCAGGCCTGTTGTCCCCGGCCACCTGCCTGTTTTCACACACTCTGCCTGTGGGTCCTGGTGATCTGAAGCAGGCGAACGTTTCCCAAAGTGGCCTCGGTGACACTTCACTGCTAAGGTGTGCTGAGACCACACAGCCAGAAAGACGACCCAGCCGGGGTCTTGGTTCAGGGTGGCTGCAGGGTGGCTCTCCTGCCTTCTGGATGTGGACAGGCCTAGCGCCACCTGGGGACACATTTTTATGCCTGAAAATGTCAGCTGCTGCTTACGTGCTGGTTCCTCCCAGTGACGGAGCGTGGTCACTTGTGGTCACTGACCACAAGGGTCGTGGCCACACACTCTGCTTCCTGTGGCAAGGCTCTAGGCTCAGACTTGCTGCGTGAAGTGGGTTCCGTGTCGGGGACGCTCTGGCAGTGTTACTGCAGCATGTGCCCTGTGAGCCGTGTCCCCACCCCAGGGAGCCACGCCCTAGCTGGAGCCCTGGTGCCGGGCTTTCTCTGTGGGGAGCGTTTGGGATTCTGGCCTGAAGAGCAGTTTCACTTGGTGCCGTCGAAGGCACTGGAGAGCAGCTCCCGGCCGCAGGGCTGTGCTCGTCCACGTGGCGTGGCCTCGCCGAGCCGGTGGCAGTACCTTCCTGGGCTCAGGAGATTCATGGTCGGGGTTAGGCCGTGAAAGCAGTGAGGAGGGCACAGAGGAGGAGCCCAGTGCACCCCAGACCTCCCGCCTGGTGGGACTGCCGCGCCAGGAGCGGCTCCTTCAGTGACCAGTCAGGCAGAAGGGTCCGTGAAGTAAGCCGCGAGGTAGGAAATTCACAAGACGACTCCTCAGGAGAGCCTGTGTCCCGTGGGTCTTGAGCACTGGGGTTTCCATCCCCTGGGGATTGGCGTGCACCCACCCCGCTGTGCTCTGGGCCTGGGTTTTATGAAGTTGTGCAGCTGTGGCTGCGGGAGCACTGGCTCTTGGCGATTAGCTCCATCCACAGCCACCCCCTGCAGAGGTCGCAGGTCAGGCTGGATTAGCAGGCCTGCTCTTTCTGGTGGCCAGCTCCATCCTGGAGCTGCCACTTACCCTCTGCGTACTCCAGCGTGGGTTCTGTGCCCACAGCCAGGACTGGCGCATGCCTGTGGCACTGTGGGATCTGGCCCCGGGTGCTGATGTCTCAGTGGTAGGTGGTGCAGGGCCCTGCCCAAAGGGAAGTGCTTGGGCAGGGAAGAGCGGTGCCCTGAGTGGGTGCCGATGAAATTCAGGCCTCCACTCCAGTGTTAAGATGAAGTCGTGGATTTTAGATCAGCCTCAGAACTCACACTTGCAGGTGCGGACGGGAGCCTGCCTGTTCCGAATGTGCTCCTCATGCCATGGGAAAGAGGTCACAGCTTCGCACTTTGGGTTTCTTAAGCACAAAAGCAGTTGTTGAATAACCGCGGGGTGTGTTTAAAGATCAGGTGCAGTTGTTTCTCGTCCGTTCAGCCCTGCCTGAAGCGTGTGTCTCAGTAGACAGGGATTCTAAGGGAAGTGGGAAGAAGTCATTGTGACTGAGAATAATTTGCGTAGGGTAAGCTGAATAGAGCAGAGCATGTCTTTGTCCCTGGAATGGCTGGTAATGAAGGCATAACTCGAGACAGTGACTGGCTGCAGGAGCAGTGTCCTCCGTGCCTGTCCCCAGCAGGGCCCAGCCACAGCTCTACCTGGAGAAGGGAATCGACCCCAAGGTGCTCGTGCTGTTCGTCATCACCAGCCTGTTGAGGTGCATGAGAGACAGTGATGTGGGCGGTCCAACTCACCACAGAGGATCAGACAGCCTGTTGCTCAGTCAGTCACGCCGTCTGTCAACACCGAGACCTACGGGAAGCAGCCTTTGTGTGCAGGTGGCACACGTCAGCATTGATGGTTGAGAGCTGTTTGCAGACGCGACCACATGGCCCTTCTTCCCCTCCTGGTGCCTCACAGCACGGGGTACTGCAGGAGCTGCGGCCTGGGTACAGCCACCCTCTGGCCACGCCCCCCATGACCCGGGTGGTCAGGCTGGGCCTTCTCTCTGTGGGTGAGGGCATCAGCATGTTGCCCCCTGCAGCACCTGGCAGCGCCCCTCAATCAAACTGGAGCCTCCCTGTTCTTTTGACACTGTACCTGCCGAGTCTCGCAGGTGGAGCAGATGCGTGTGCTGGCGCTCTCTGCACTGTGGGTCCCACACCTGCTGTGCTCCCTCTCCACCCTCCACAGAGGCCCAGTGACTGCCCCCGCCCTTGGCAACGGGAGCCCTTACCCCACCCCAGCCACCCACTGCTTCTTATGCCCCCACAGCCTGCACCTTGCCCACCTCCCCAGAGGCACCCGTGTGCCTGCCACAGTTCTGCAGAGGGCCACCCTCCCCCACCCAAGAATGACGGCCACTGCTGTTTGGGTCTAGAACCCTGGGTGGGCCCATTGTGACAGGGCTCCGGGTGGTACCCATGGTAGGCTGTCCTCTGAGCATGTCCTCACCCAAGGCTGGGGAACTGTGAGTTGTTCCTGACTCTTCATGATATTTGTGGCTCTGGGCTGGGTCACTGGCTCTCCTAGAGACTCAGATGGGTGGGTGTGAGGTGCAGGACCTCATCAGAATCAAAACCTTTCCTGCCAAAGGCCCCGTGGAGAGGACGAGGCAGCGCAGGACAGACAGAAGACGACGGGCATGTGCAGAGCTCTGCAGGATAGCGGAAGGGGCAGGCCTCGGGGTCCCTGCAGCCAGCAGGTGGGCAGAAGTGCTGTGGTGGATGCAGTCAGCTCAGCCCACACCAGCTCCCTGGCTGCCTGGGCCTGGGGAGGAAGCCATGCTGCAGGACCTCTGGACACACTGAGACTGCACAGCTGAGCACGTGTCTGTGTGGTTGCACCTTTTATTGTGAAACCTTTCACGTCACCTGCAGTGGAAGAAATGTCACACAGAGAGTCCTCATGCCCTTGGCCAGCTCCAGTGACGGCGTCCTCCAGAACCCTGGAGCAGGCGGCCCCCCCAGGGCATGGCAGGAGCACAGTCCCCGACAGCACCTACACCTTCCTGCTGCCCCTGGCACTGCCCTGCCTCATCCAGCCCTGGAGTTCAGCCCCTTGAAGAAGGTTGTCAAAAACAGGGCCCGGAGCCATGTGCCCTGGGGTCTGGCCTTTCACTTGCCGGTTCCCCTGGAGGTCAGTGGGTGTGGCTGCCTGGACAGTGCCCCCTGGTCAGTACCCAGTCACTGCCAGCCCTCTGGGGGTACCTGGGCTGTGCCCAGAATATCTGTTGTTCCCCATGCAGCTAAGGTCTGGCGTGGCTCTGCCATGCAGGGGTGGGCTGTATGGCAGCTGTGTGGCAGTGTGCCCTTGCAGAGGCTGGCCACTTCCGCCCACCTGCTGGCTGCAGGGACACCGAGACCTGGCCTTTCCCTGGCGGCTCTTGCTGCTTCCCTGCAGAGCTCTGTCTTCTCTGTCCTGCGCTGCCCGATCCTCCCCACGGGGTCTTGGCAGGAAAGATTGTGATTTGGACGCGGTCCTGCCTCTCCGGCTCCCCCCCCCCCCCCCCTTGTGCTTTCCCTGCTGCCTGTTGGCCTAGCCAAGCCCTAGGTCCCAACAGGGCCCTCTGCTGGTCATTCAGGAAGTTACAGGTGAGGGCCTCCCTAAGTGGCTGAGGCTGGCCTGGAACTTTTGATCCTCTTGGCCCAGCCTCCTGAGCTGCTGGGATGACAGGCATGGCCGGCACCTGGCTACGTCTTTGCCGCTCAGACTCTGTTCGGGCGGTGAGCTGTTGCTCCACCTCACTCAGTGGCCTGCAGCTCCCCTTCCTTGGCTGCTTGATGCCGCCTGGAGTTGGTGTGGACCTGCAGCGTGTCTCCAGTCTGTCTGTCCCCTTGGCCTGTGGAACCTGACCTTCCCCTCAGTGCAGGGTGATGGCTGGACTTAGGGTGGTGGAGCTGCAGGTGTCTGCAGGTGCTCTCTTGGGTTGGGCAGGGTCCCTCCTGTGAGTTCGTCACTGGTGGGTTCTGGATTTTGTGACCGTGTGGTTTTGCAGCTCTGCAGACTGTTACTGCACGGGGAGCATGTTGATTGCCTTAAAGGATCGACACAGCCCTGCTCCCTGGGTCGGGTGCTGGTGTCCTTGGTGGGGAGCAGACTCGCCCGGTGAGGCAGGCTGGGACGTGTCGCCCCGCCCACGAGACAGGAGAAGAATGCCCCGGTGTACGTGGTGGCAGTCTCTAGGGAAACCACCTGGGTTTTTGGGGAAGCTCTCCAGGTCACCTGCTTCACACTAGGCAGGGCGATGTCGCGTGTCACTCTGCCCTGTTCTGCTGGTTCTCCTGGAGTGTGCTGATGTCCCTGCTGGTTCTCCTGGAGTGTGACGATGTCGTGTGTCACTCTGCCCTGTTCTGCTGGTTCTCCTGGAGTGTGCTGATGTCATGTGTCACTCTGCCCTGTTCTGCTGGTTCTCCTGGAGTGTGACGATGTCATGTGTCACTCTGCCCTGTTCTGCTGGTTCTCCTGGAGTGTGCTGATGTCGTGTGTCACTCTGCCCTGTTCTGCTGGTTCTCCTGGAGTGTGACGATGTCGTGTGTCACTCTGCCCTGTTCTGCTGGTTCTCCTGGAGTGTGACGATGTCATGGGCCTTTAAGGGACCAGGTATCGGCTCTGCCTTCTGTGTGGCTCTCTTCTGTTCCTCGCCTTCGCTGTCTTCTTTCCCATTTTTCTTTTTTTTTTAATATAGTTTTAAATAATTATTCTGCCTTTGTTTTAATTATTTTATTCATGTGTGGTGCTGAGAACCAAACCCACGGCCTCACCCGCTAAGCAAGCGCTCTGCCTCGGAGCCCCAGCCCAGCTCTGGACTTGATGAGTCAGAAGTGACTCAGACCTTCAGTGAGGCAGTCTGTGCCCTTGCACCCGGCCACACAGAGGGTCCCATGAGGGTCTCCTCACCCTTCCTGTGCCCCTCAGGGCTCCCTCACACTCCCACGGCAAGGTCCACCATGGGACCTTTGTCACGTTCCTCATGACTCGACCACTGGGTCACTCCAGGGGAACTGGGCTGCACAAAATTCCTTTGGGTCCTGTGATGCTCCTCTGACTTACGGGTGGCAGAAAGGGAGCCCGTGCTGAACCTTTTATTGAGGAGAAGCCATTCCGCCGAGGCAAGGGGTCAGGTTTCAGGGGCTTGAGTCTGGTTTTGTGATGCCTGCTGTCAGCGGGTTGACTGACATGTAGGAAGGCCACACCCAAGGGCAGAGCAAGAGCAGGGGACACACAAAGCGGTTTCCCTGGAACGTTCTATCCCAAACAGGGCACGGGGTAGTATCACAAGGAACAGGGGAGAGTAGCTCGATTCACGGGCAGCACACCTATGTCTGAAGATGCGTCCTCAAACCTCTGGGACAGGGCAGTGCCAGGCACGACGAGACGTGGTGACAGTGAAGTCCTGTCCGCTCCAGGACGAAGATGCAGTCATTCAGAGTGGCTCCCCACAGACCTCTGTGTCTCCTCATCCAAAGCGTCTCGAGCTTCTCTTCCCCCGACACGTTTTCGAGTTAGGCCCCTCTTTGCAGTGCCCTGGAGCGCCTCCGCCTGCTTGCCTCTGCTGGCGTGGGCAGCCCGCGCTCCTCCGTCTGCTGCTGTTCAGGGCTCTCTGCTCCTGGGAGTTCAGTGTCATGTGTGTTGTGCTGTGCTTGGGGGTGGGTGCTCTCAGATGCTCATCTTTTGCCAAATTAGGGCTATTTCCCGCTTTTCTGTGGGCCAACTCTGCCTCCACCAGGACCCTGAGCCAGTGTCACCTGGCGTCATCTCAGAACTGCATTCCCTTTTCCTCTTTGGTCTGTTGGCTTTGTTTTCAGAGAGGTGATTCTGTTAGAAGCTGAACTCACTGGCAGTTTTCTTCTGTCACCCCCATTTTGCTGTCATGCCCATCCTTTGCTTTTTGTTGTTGTTTTCATCACATTTTTTGGTTTTGGGATCTCTTTTCGTTCTATTTATTTACTTACTGATTTTTGCTGAGGCTCTGCGTTTTTCCATTTAGCTCAGGTGTGTTTGTGATGACTTGAGGAAGCATGTTCATCATGGATGGTTAGAATCTTTGTCAGACGACTGTGTCATCCTGGAGTTGGCCTCTGAGTTCCACACTGTGCTGTTCTTGAAGGACAGATGACTCTGATTGGGTCCTGAGGCTTCCCGTCACGTCAGGGGATGAGGGTTATAGAATCCTCCATCCTACTGATGCCAACTCCGTGGTGGAAGTAGAAGTGGAGGCAGCACCTGTTCTTGCAGGGGTGGGCGTCAGGCCCGCCTGCTGACGCCCAAGGTGGGGTGGGGGGCCCCTGTCACTGGGAGACAGCTGTGGGGGTCCCTGTTACCATGGGGGATGAGCCCTAACTCTCCCCTGGGCTGCCTCTGACACTGCAGATGGAGTGGGAAGGGCCTTGCTTCCTCCCCCAGGTGGGGTGGACGCTGGGCTCCTGTGCCCCTGCTCTACCTTCTCTGAGCCCCAACCCAGGAGTGTTGGGGTCCTTGCAGTATTTGGCTGTGGTGGAGCAGTTATTTTCTAAACAACTTTAAATACTGATTTTTAAAGTAACACCAAACCATTATATGTTAACATAACGAAAATACCAAATATGCTGAAGTCAAAAAGAAATGTTATCAGAGTGACATGTTTTACCCTTTGTGAATCACTTTGGCTTAGTGTTTAGGTAGAAATGCACAAATCTGTCCTGCCCCAGAGGTGCTGCTGGGGAGAGAGGGAGAACTGGGCAAGGGCCCCGGGAGGCCCGGGAGGCCCTGGTTTGGTAGCTGATCTGTGTTGTGTCTTCGGGTCAAGGAGGGGCATGGTTTTCCCGTCTTGCAACCCTGCAACTGCACCAGGACAGTTTACCTGGGTGGCCATGCGTGCACACTGGGCCTCAGCCCCTCTGACCTGAAGAGCAGCACTCTTCCAGCTGTCCCAGTGGACACTCTTGTTCTTACATCCCATCTGCAATCAAAAAGCTTTTCTAAATGGCAACATGATACATTTATTTTTAGTAAAAAGAAAGCTTCTGCTTTTGAGCTCTGGGCATGTTTGGCTCTGGGGTCGTGGGTGTGAGGGCAGTGGGCCGTGGTGGTGTCCCCCAGGTGAAGCCCCGATCACACGTCTGTCGGTACCTGTGAGGAGGACAGGGACCTGGAGTCCAGCCTCTGACGAGGCAGAGGTCGCACTTCCCAGACCTGCAGACAGAAGCCTGGTCCTCACACCCGTGTGTGGCTGGGCCAGCACAGGTGCTCCTCCTAGCCTTGTGGCTGTGAGCAGGCCTCACTGCCTAGGCCGTGCTGTGCGTACTGACCAGCCTGGGGTGCATGGCCCAGCCCTGGGAGAAGTGACGAATAGCAGGAGAGATGGTGCGGCCTGTTTCCCTGGGGTCTGCCTTACGTTCTGAGAGTCGTGAGCGTGCCTGGAAAGGAGTTGGGGGGAGTCACACCTCTGGGCAGAAGTGCGTCAGCCGGGAGAGCAGCAGCTTCCCGTGGGCGGGTTCAGCAGGAGAGCCTGGGGCTGGTGGGGCTGAGCAGACGCGCCCCTGAAGCAGGGGCCTGGTGATGTGGTGCCACTGTCTGTGACTAGGTGGCTCCCCCCCTTGGCCCACTCATGATTCACCGTTGTACGGAGGTCTTTCGTCGCCTGGTGGATGTAAATGCCGCTTTCTCCGCTTGCTTTCTGCTGTGTCTTTGGGCTCTGGGGCTTCACTTGAGCTCAGTGGCGCCTCCTGGTGGTTGCTGGGAAGCTGTCCCTCCTCCCGTGAGCGGGGCCAGGCTGAGCCCTGTGGCAGGGCACTTTGCTGGTGCAAGGCAAACGTGAGCCGCGGGGCCTAGCCCCGGAGCAGTGCCCAGTGTACTGAGCACGACACTGCGTGTGTGCCCCCTGGTGCCACCAGCTGCCTTCCTCACACAGCACTGTGACATTCCTTTCAGAGCCGTCCAGCCGCAGCAGCCGCAGATGTTTGGTGAAGAGCTGCCTGACGTGCGGGACGGAGAACGGCCCAGCCCTGCTAGGAGGAAGCGGCAGCCCAGCATGTCGGAGACCATGCCGCTGTACACACTGTGCAGGGAGGACCTGGAGAGCATGGACAAGGAGGTGAGCGGCTGTGCGGGAGCTGCAGCCCGTGCTCGCACAGGTGTGCACAGGTGTGCCTGTCCTCATCCCGAGCTTCCTGGCACAACGGTGCCCACCAGCTGCACCCCAGACAGCCAGGCCTGGGCGCTGGCCATGGTCTCAGCCCGCTTCACCCCCCACCCCAGACTTGTGGCCTTGTCTGGAGAGACTTCCCGTCACCAAGGTGAGGGGCAGGTGCCTCTGGCACCTGTGGGCAGAGCCGGGGTGACACTCAGCACCCTGAAACCCTGTGCCAGGACGCCCTGCTGGGCAAGCGAGGACCCCCTTGAGCCCCGGGTTGCCGTGGGCAGCACAGTGACTCTGAGGGCAGTTTCTGGTTGTGTCCTTGACCCCGAGCAGGCCTCAGCAGCATGCAGAGTCAGCTCACCTGCTTCCTTGCAGGAGCAGCAGTGGCAGGACTCCAGACCCACTGTGAGCTAGAAAGAAGGCGTGGTCAGCATGCACCTTCTGCTGGCTTCCCTAAGACCAGCCCCAGCCTCATGCCACCACGCCCCTCCTGGGGTTACAGGCCGGCCCCCGTGGAAGCTCCCAGCCTGCCAAGTGTTTTGGGGTGGTCTGCATGCTGGGCGCGTGCTGGTGAATGGCCCCTGCCTGGCCTCACTGTCCTGCCACGTGGTCTGGCTGGAGCATCCACCTGCGCCCCACGCTGCTGTCAGGAAGTACAAAGGGGCGTTGAAGGAGGAAAATGGGTTGTGCTTACTTTCAACTGTAGCAGAAAGTGCAGGAGGTTAAATCCAGGATGGTGTCTCACCAGTAGCCCAGTTTTCTGTCACCTTAACGGCACTTGGTCCTCTGAGGACTGAACCTTCTCTAGTGTGCTGAGTCTCTCCATGTACCACTGTCAGCTCACCGTGGCTCCTCTGCCCTCACCTAGGCAGCTTTCTCTGGGAACAGCGTCTGCATCCCTTTGGGCACAGGTAGCGAGGGCCCGTGGAGCCAGAAGGAAGTCACCCATCCTACCCTCCACCTCCAGAAGGTCCTGAGTGTCAGCCCGTCGATTGCCCGGTGGATGACAGCCACCTACAGGCCTAACAGACCTCAGATCCAGTCCCTAGATCCCAGGTCGGGGGTGTCTGGGGCTCCTTGACTCCCAGGTTGCTTCGGTCTTTAGCCTTCAGATAACTCCCCAGAGCCTGGGGGAGCCGTGGAGAAGCAAGGTCAGACCAGGCATGGCACCAGGGCCCAGGATCTACTGCCCTGGTGGCATCTAGGTGCTGCCCGGGCCTGTGTTCACCGGCTGCCCCTGCCAGCCTTCTCCCCCTCTCCCAGCCAAGCACACCCCGATTCCATGTTTGTCAGGTCTGAGGCTGCTGGGGAGACCCTGTGTGGAGGAGCAGGCAGCAGCTCAGAATTGACTGCGGTCCACTTTGGCACATGACCATACAGCTGGCCATTCTGCACCATGTAAAATTCTCTAGTGGGGCCAGATAACTGACTGTTCACCCCACATGACCAAAGGTAAACAGTGCTGTCCCTCAAGCAAGCATTTGGTGATAACAGGAAAACACCAGAGCAGGGTACTTCCTAGCTGGCAAGGTGAAGCAGGCCCCTGAGTCCCGAGGCAGATGGATGGAGGGGTCTGCTCAGGATCCCATTGGGATGTGGGTCTCCTGGCTTTTCCTCCTGTGTTTCCCAGCCCCACCCTGCACAGCGAATGCTCAAAGCTACAGGGCCAACCCTGGGAACCACTGCGGGTGTGCTGGGGGTTCCTGGTTGGGGTTGGGGGTTGGTTCTCTCTCTCTTCCTGGCTCTGCTCAAGGCCAGCCCCCAGTCACAGCTGTACAGCCAGCTACACGCCACACAGGAACCTGAAACTCAGGAAGCTTCCTGCTGGCCAGCAGAGCCCAAGGGGTATCCTGTGTCCTGTGATCAGAGAGGAGTGGACACTTGGACAGCACCTATAGTGCTCTGGGTCATCTTGGGGAACCTGGGCAGGGTCCCCTCGTGCTGGCTCTGAGGTACAATCCCAAGAGCATGGCAGAGAACCTGTGGCCCTGAGACTGACCCAGGCCACGGTTGCCTAGCCCTCCAAGGCACTTGGGACCACACTGGCATTCAGAGACCATGGAGCCGTGGAGCCTGTCCATGGGGCAGTCAGTGCTGTGCAAGGAATGCTGGGGAGTGTGCTGCCGCGGCAGCTCTGAGACGACCCGCCAGAACTGTGCAGAGGTCACAGGTCCACCCTTCCTGGGGGCAGACCGTCCTGAGTGAAAGGTCAGGCAGCAGGTCTCAACCCAGATGCAGGAGCCACAGAGGTGAAATACACCAGGCAGAGCAGAGTTGCTGAAGGTCAGCAGTGGACTTCCCTCAACCACCTGAGTCGTCCGACCTCAAGGAGCAAGGATAGGCTAGGAGGAAAGACTGACCACGGGGATCTCTGCGCCACGGTGGCAGCTGGCATTGTGTCCTGGAGTCCCCAGGGAGAGAAGGGAGGCGGCTAAGTGTCTCCTGAGGCCAGAGATGTCAGAGCAGCTTGTCATCTTCCTGCTCAGGGTCCTCCCCGTGCCGTGGGCACTGCTGACACTGCAGGCCATCTCCAAGACTCTTGACAGTCACTGGCAGGTCAGAATCTACCCAGTGACTGGAACCAGCCCCACCCGTGGCACTGTGGTGTCCAGGTTTGAAGCTGAGGTTCAGAACCACAGGACACAGCCACAGGTGGTGTTCAAGAACCTGTTACTGACAGGTTTCCTATGTCACGGTCTGATTGATACTGCCCAGCCACAGTCCCCAAGAACAGTCTCTGGTGAGCCACAGTCCCCAAGAACAGTCTCCGGTCAGCCGTGACCCAGGCATAGAGGCTTTTAACCGCTTTAAATGCTGAGCCCCAAGATGAATGGTTCCCTGGGCAGTCACGGCTTCCTTCTTAGATCAGGTGTTGACTCCGTTCTAATTTTTCTTTTATTGATAAATATTTTACAAGAATGCTGTGATCACTCTTTGGGTTCTGAATATTTACCTTTTGAAAGTTTTAGTTTAAGTTTTCTGAAATACGAAAATCCATATGCAAAAAAGAAATCAAGGTTCTGTTTTGCTTTATAAAAGATTTGGCCACACTCCTCTAAGTAGAGAGCTCTTCAGGGAGTCTCAGTGTGATCTGCCCAAGCCATTTTTGGCACGGATGTGCCGCCTACAGCTAACTAGCGTCTGCATGGTCTTCAATCCTGCCGAAGGCACTTTCTCATGCCTCAAGTTTGGGGGTTTTTTTCCCGTTCATCATTAAAGTTCCTCTTTGGCCTTTGAAGTATTTTCTGTTGGTAAAAATGTCCTCTCAGTCGGTGTCATTCCACTTAAAAACCCATGCTGGCCCTATGTCAGGTGTCCGTGTGGCACACAGATGACCACAGATTCAGCAACTTAGCACAACCCCATTTTTTGAGTCACTGCTTCCAGGCTGGGAAGTGGAGCTCAGGGAGCACATCCTCTGCACACAGTAGGTCACCCTCAGGGCTGGCACACTGACAGCGTCCTGTGCACAGGACCCTCTGCCACAGGGTCCATGCTGGAGGTGAACGCCCCTGGTGGGCAGCTGAACACCGGTCTCTCTGCCCTGTGCACCCACCTGTCTTTCCAGTCCTCTTTCCACCCTGTGGGTGCACGCCTCAACCCTGGGGCCAGCATGCCACGGCTAGGCCCGGTTCTGTGCTTACCTGCAGCAGGGCAGCCATACGGCCGCTCCATGCGTCAGACTGAGCAAGGGTCCTTGAATCACGGTCCCTCCCCATCTCTCCCTCCTCTGCATTTCCTGCTGTTTCTCTTGGCCCTGTCCTCAGGAGTCGGCAGGGTCTGCCCCTCCTTGCCACTGCTCTGGCACATCCCAGACTTGAGGTGGTGGGGAGAAAGCAGGTGAGCAGAGCAGGCGGCTGCACCCCAGGCCCCAGCTGAGCTCCCCCGGGAAGCCGGCTCAGGGCCCTGCACCTCTCCGACCCGGGCATCCCTCACAAGCGTGCTACTCACATGCTCCCGGACTCCAGGGCCTGCAGGAAGCCGTCATCCCCTTGTGTGCGGCCAGGGTCTCCCCTGCTCTCGCGGCCTGGCTTAGTCTCCAGTGAGGGAAAGCAGAGCTGCGGGTCAGGCCTGCTGCAGGGTGGACGTCCCTGCTCTGGCAGGGGGTAGCCAGGGCCTTCCACAAAGCTCGCGCAGGCCCTGACTCTGAGCCATTGGCAGGTGGATGACATCCTCGGGGAAGGCAGTGACGACAGCGACAGTGAGAAGAGGAGGCCAGAGGAACAGGATGAGGACCGGGAGGGTGCAGCACGGCCCCGGGAGCCCAAGGCCCCCAGCGCCCAGAGGGGCCCACCGCTGGGACCAGCCTCGTCCAGCGACCGGAGCACTGCGGGCGCCCGCGGTCCCAGGTCAGTGTGGGAGGTGGCTGCAGGCCAGCGAGGGCAGCGGAGCTGGCGGCAGGAGGGGGCCAGGAGTGCGTTCTGCTGTGGTCAGGAGTGTTTGGAGCACCCTCACAGCTGCTGTTGGGAGAGGCCTCGTGTCCAACAGAGGCTGTCCCTCCGATGGCGTTCCTCACACTGGCATTGAGAGCACGGCTTCTTGGGAACGTGGGTGGGTCTTTGCCACGTTTCTTGGTAGCCATGTCCCCTTCAGGATGTCCTGTGTGCAGAGCGTGTGGAGTGCCCACAGTCCAGCCCACAAAAGCCACAGTGTCCTCTTCTGGGTGCTAAGTGGGGAAGGGGAGCACCAGGGGCCATGAGATGCCAGCACCGTGGTCCGCTGTGCTGACCTGTGGTGGCTCTGGCTGTGGCCCCTCTCAGCAGAGGAACTGCACGTGCCTTCCACTGAGGCCCGCACGAGGCAATGACCCAGGCCGCTGGGGAGACCAAGGCCTCTAGAGTCCAGGGAGGCCCCCCATCCACCGCGTCCCTGGCAGTGGACAACAGCAGGAAAGGGCCTGGGCTTTACTGCAGTGAGTGCTCTCGTGACGCCTCTGCAGGGACCGGGTGGGCAAGGCTCTGGTCTCCGCTCTGGTGCTTGCCGCAGGGTCTTGGGCAGACTGCCCAGCCGCTCCACCTGTCCAGCCTGCAGTCACCCCTGGCTTCCTGCTGTCACTCTGAGCTGGGCGGTGAAGCCAGGTGTGGCACAGTGGGCGTTCAGGGACAGGTGGCTCAGCTATGCCGCCTGCACTTGGACTTCTCAGCCCAGCGGTGCAGGGACCTTCCCTGTCCACCCACTGGCTCCTCAGACAGGGGGGTGACACCGCAGTTGCTGTTTTACTTTGCACTGAGGGTTCAGGATGGCTTTAGAACCCGAGACCAGAGGCAGGGAGTGCCCTGTGGGGCTGGGCCTGTCCCCCGTCAGCAGCAGGTTCTGTGCCTCCCAGATGTGGGGATCTCGCCCTTTCAGCCAGGAGTGGGAAGGCAGTGCTCTCTGGTTTCACTGATCCTGTTATGGGGTATGAAACCAAAAGCAGATGGCATCTCTGTTTGAAACGAAGTAAAACATCTTCAAGGTCTTGCAGGGGCTCCGCTGTTTGTGCTGTGTGGCACGTTCCTTGGCTGCAGCGCCCTCTCAGGGAGGCCAGAGCACAGTGCCTGCAGGAGACCCTGCGAGCAGCTGGCATGGCCCAGTTACCCCCTCATCGTGGGGTGAAATCATGGTGCACGTAGCTGGGGCCCCGGAGCCTGCAGGACTGTGGGAAGAGGGTGTCTGTCTACGGCTCGGGCTGGCTCTTCAGGGACCACGGCCCAGGAAATGTCTTGGGTGTCATCTGCAAGTTCTACTGAACAGGGTTGATCTGCAGTGCTCACTTAAAATAAAACAACCCCCTAATGGCCCTGCTGTCCCCTGGTGCTGCTGATGCCTGAGGCACTCGTCGGGGGTGGTTTTAGCAGCTGCCCCAGGAGGTGAGTCTTGGGGAAAGGCGATGGGTATGGTGTCAGCCTCCTGTGCTGCTGGCCCAGAGCGGGCAGCTATGCTGCCCTGTGGTAGGGGGCTTTCCTCTGGTGGCGCCCTGTGGACATGCTGCTCTCATTCATGCTGACCCCAGACTGCCTGCTGAGCTGTGGGCCGTGGGTAGGGGTTTGCATCCCTGTGTGGGTGGGGAATAGTCAGCCCTGCCTGGCGCCGCGTGCTGTGGACCAGGGGTTGCTGGCAGAGGTGGCAGAGCACGTGCAGGCACCTCCGCAGGACGCCACTGTACGGGGCTCTTTTCTCTTGTTCACCCTGACAAGCCATGCCACCTGGCTCCTGGGCAGCTGCAAGGCCCTGCTCAGACACCTCCTCCCCCTGCAGCCTGGGAGCGGTCCCAGATCCCTGTCAGGGGCTGCCCTGCACAGCCAGGCCAGCCCATGGTCCTCCGCCCACTGCTGTCTGAAGTCCCTTTGGGGAGGTACAGAGGCCCAGCCTGAGAGCCGGCTGTCCTGACGGGTGTCGGAGGCTCGGGTCCTCTGCTCACACACACCTCCAGACGCAGGCCCAGCCCAGGGCTGATCCCATGTGGACACCCAGGCGCCTCAGCCACGGAGTGGGTGCCTCAGGGTCTGTGGCCGTACCGTGGGGCTGGCTATCCCTCGCGGGTGCGGACGGGCAGCGCCGGCTGCATGCCTGCCCACGGCCTGGCTCTCACCGCAGTTGTGCTCCCCTTCTCCTCAGAGGCCACAAGAGAAAGCTGAATGAGGAGGACGCGGCCAGCGAGTCCAGCAAGGAGTCCAGCAACGAGGACGAGGAGGGCAGCAGCTCCGAGGCGGACGAGATGGCGGCGGCGCTCGAGGCGGAGCTGAATGAGCTCATGTGACCGGCCGCCCCGCCCCCCCCCCCCCCCCCCCGGGCCCCTCTCCCGAGGGACGGACATTGTGCCGAGCCCTGCGGCCCGAAAAACAATATTTTGCAGAAACAGGTGTTTTTAAGAAGTTTCACTATAGGAAAGTCTACTTTTTTACGTGACGGAGTGCTGCGGGGCGCTGCTGTGCTGTGCCAGAGAGCTCAGCAGAGCCGCGTTGTCGTGCAGCGGGAGTCGGTGGCTGTCACACCGTAGGGTGGGCTTGGGGATCCCCCTGTGTGCCCCAGCGCATCACTTAGGGGGCACCCGAGGAGACTGGGTGACCGTGTACAGGAGCCTGGTGTCTGGTGCTTCGCCACCGGGGCTGTCAGAACGCCAAAGGCTAAGCGGACAGAGCAGCACGCTGCGTGCAGAGGTCACGGGCCTGAGCCCCAGCCAGCCTCGGAGGCCCCGAGTCGGGGCTGCCCTGCTCGCCGAGGGCGTCGTGATGAGAGGACCTCCCTTTTCCTGGGTGGCCTTGTGCTTCTTTGAGAGATCTGATGTAGAGTTTTTGTATACCGCTTTCATATCTGACCCACCAAACAGATTCTTTCATTTAATAAAGATCCTTTTTGTACATCCTGTTCTCTCTCTGGTGCATTTTGGCAGAGAGCAGCCCCCTGCTCTGGCTCCTTTCTTGGCCGGGTCCCAGTTCTTAGGCTGGGCGCTCTGCTGGGGCGGTGGCGTCTCTGAACGGCTTCTCGTGGGAGCTTGCTCAGTAGAAAATACAGCACTGGAGGTTTGTTCCAGAGGTACCAGGGCCTCGCGAGTGTAGCCAGGAGATCGACGATGTCTCAAGCCACTCTGTGGCTCTTGCTCTTGCCATTATTGGGGGGAATTTTTTAAAAGATTGCACCATGACATTAACAACCACGGAGTCCTTGTGGCTTGATCGGTAGCTTGACGGAAATGAGTCACGGGCCGTCTGAAGTGACTGGCCGACCTGGCACTCCAGGCCACGGCCTTGTCCTCGGGATCCCTGGACAGCGCGCTTGATGCGGAGTTCAGGAAGGTTCTGGCCCCCTTCAGCGGGCATCCCAAGAGCTTGGTGCCTCCAGCTTTAGGAGCCCAAGGTCTGCTCACCTTGGACAGAGCAGGAAGCGATCCCGAGCGGACGTCGGCTCCAGGATGCCGCGGGCTTTCCCTGATACGTGGTGTGGCAGTCCTCTGTCACCAGCTTCAGGTCAGCAGCACCACTGACCTGTACCCTGTTTTCTGGGTTATTTGCCAAATTAAAAGTGAAGCATTGGGGGCTGGGCTGGGGCTCAGTGGCAGAGCGCTTGCCTCGCACGTGCGAGGCGCTGGGTTTGGTCCTCAGCAGCACGTAAAATAAATAAATAAAACAAAGGTATTGTGTCCAACTACAACTAAAAAAATATTAAAAAAAAAAAAAAAAAGTGAAGTGTTGGGCTAAGCTGTGTACCCTTGACCTGCAGGTAACTCCAATAGGCTCATCTTCACGTACTGACTCACATTTCCGAGAGGTGAGGAGCACCTCAGGCACAGCTAGATCTAGGGGTTCCCAGAGGCTCGGCCACGGTCTGTGACTCTTCCCTCCGTTGTTGGATCTGATCCGTCACGTTCTGTTGATCTGTTGCACCTGTGTTCCTGAGGGTGTTAGTCTCTGGTTTTCCTGTAAAGTGGTCTGGGTGCTGGGACGACGCGGGCCAGGTGAGTGTGTCAGGAAGTCGTCCGTCAGCCCTGTCTTCTGGAGGAGACGCGGAGCATTGGTGTGGCTCCCTCCTCAGATGCCTGTCACCCGCGAGCCCCTCCGGGACAGCTGCTTCCGTTGTGGAAGGGTGTCTTTGATGGACACAGACAGTCAGCTGCCGAGTATGTGTTTTGACCCTTGGGTCTCAGAGAACTGGGGCACACCATCGAGGTCTTGGTTGTCTGGGCAGAGCCATTCACAGTATCCCTTCGGGGTCCTCTAATGTCCGTGGGCTCTCGGTTGGTGTCCCCTCCATTTTTCATCACGTGCCCCCTGGAAGCAGCTCAAATTTCTTCATGTTTTGAGAGAATCAGCTTTTGGTCTCATTCATTTTCGTCTGCTTGTTTCCTATTTTTAATTCCGTTGACGCTACTTTAATATTTATCATTTCTTCTGTTTACTCTGCGACGAATCGTCGTTCTGTTTCCTAAAGTGGAAGTTAGACCCCTGGGCTTTCATTGTTGTTCTTCTCTAACACGCGCCTCCTGCTCCCAGCCACCCTCTGACGCTCTTGCCTTTGCTGCATCCTACAAGTTTTGATAAAAGTCTTTCTTTTTCACCTAGTCAGATGTTTTTTAGTGTTTCTGAGAGCTCCCTGTGGTTGAGTCTCTGTGTTGGAACTCTCCGGCTGTCTTTGTCCCCGTTTCTGCTGTCCTCCCTGTGGCCTGGGCATCCTGCTCCTGGTGAGGCATCTGCCACTGTCCTCGCTGTCAGCTGTTAGCTGTGGGCTTTCTGCCTCCTCACAGTTCTCGACGCTGCCTCCTGGTCTGCTGCTGTCACACCTTCATCTGAGCAAGGACACGGGAAGGGAGGGTTTCCATCCCACTGTACAGCTTCTCTCCAGCACTCCTCTCCACGCAGCTCCGACTCTCTGAACTGTGTCCTTTTCTTTCTCTCAAGAATCTGAGTGAACATCTCTTGCAGGCAGTCTACCGGCCTCAGTTTCCTCAACAGCTGTTTGCCCCGGGAGACCAACTTGGATTCTCTCTGAAGGGTGCTTCATAGACACAGAGCTCCAGTGCGTTGTGTCCCTCAGCAACACCTGTTACTCCACCCTCTCCCCGCTCCCGCGTTTCTGACGAGAAGCTGATGTTATTCCCGGTGCTGCCCTGACTTCCTTCCTTAGTCTTCATACAAGAACCGATTTATGAAACGTGCTCTTTAAAGAATAAAAGCAAAATACTATTTATAATATAATTATTTTATAATTGATTTTCTATATATTATGTAGTTGTATTTAAAGCATTTTAGTCATATTTTAATTATTAATAAAATTATTAGTAAATATTAATAAAATGAAGATTATAATGAAGATGGGTGAGATCACACCACGGGTGAAAATGTTGGCAAAGCCCTGGTGGAAAGAGTACAGCACTTCATCAGAGTTAAAAAACATAATAATCGTAACCCTACGATATATCCAGGGGAACCCCAGAGACCCTCCTGAGACCTCCACACCCAGGGAACCACGGAGACCCTCCTGAGACCCCCACACCCAGGGAACCACTGAGAGACCCTCCTGAGACCCCCACACCCAGGGAACCACTGAGACCCCCACACCCAGGGGACCACAGGAAACTTGCACAGTCCCGTCAGCGTCCATTATTACAGAGGAAAGGCAGCGGCAGCCGAGAAGCCACTGGGGAGGCCCAGGTGGGGGAAGCCCCTGCCCCTGTTGCCAGCTCAGTCTTTGTTCCCATGCCAGTCCAATTAAATATAGGGTTTTGATTTTTAAAAAAATGAGGTTGGTTTATTGCTTTGCTAGCAAAGGAGGAACATGGGGACTCCTGTCCCAGGGGCTGTGATTCTTTGCGCCAACTGAACTGCTAAGAGGTGACTCAAAGGCTGCATCCACACCTGTCTGTTGGAGCTGTGATTCACTTGTTAATTTGGGCGGTAGTTTCCGAGAGCTTCTGTTGCAGTCCCCAAGGTCTGGATCACTTGGGTGAGTGCTCAGGACAGATAACTGCCCACGGTGGGGAAGAAAGGTAATCCTGTTTCCCCTGAGGTCAGGGAGGAGCAGGGAGAGAGGAGGAGAAACATGCTCAGTTTAACAATGAGTCACAGTGGCAGAGCTGCAAGGCTGCATCCAAAGCTTAGACTAGACACTGTTACACACACACACACACACACACACACACACACCCGGGGCTGGGACAGTGGGAGCACCCGCCCTGCTCAGCTGGAACAGCTACCCAGCTTCGTGGGGGCCATCGCCAACTGCCTGATTCCATGGTCCTGGCTGGGGTGTGGCAGATGAGGGCCTCCCAGAGGTGCTCACACAGCTCTGTGACTCTGCCTTCCTCTGCTGTGCTGCTGCAGGGTCCCTCTCACAGAGGTGTGTCTTCCTCTAGGAGCTCCTGAAGAGCCGGCACGGCCAGGCCTGGGGCCCAGAGACTGGATTGCTGGCACCTGGTTTGTGCCTCTCTCTTGTTGGTCGAGTTGGAGTGGCTGCCGATGCCGCCTCAGGTCCCGTGTCTCACAACTGACAGTGCCCCGTGTAGGTTGTCACTGGGGCCTGCGTGGCTGCTGCACACTGAGCTTTGGAAATCAGCTACCACGGCACCGGGCCTCTGTGTCCAGTCCTGCCCCCCTGGCCCAGCTGTCTTCCCACCCCGGGAAGCTCCTGCACCTGGGGATCCGTCCACTTGCTCCAGAGACAAGCCTTGGCTGGAGACCCCAGGGCTACCAGGTGGCTAGAGACCCAGCCACAGTGTAGCCCAGGGCAGTTACTGTCCAGGGCTCTGCATGGAGCTGGCCAGATGGCAGGGCACTGCTTCTTTTGAAAAGCAAGGTACAATGAGGACTGAGGCAGAGGCACTTGACCCTCTGGCCCCTGTTGGGCTCGGTGGCTCTCCCAGCTCCTAGGCTTCTGAAGAGAGGAAGCCAGGCACCGGCGCCGCCCAGCCCCAGGACGACTTCTCTTGTCACAGTGGGGAAAGACAGAAGGTGTCTGGAGCACTCTGGGAACAGGCCACTCTGTCCTGCAGGCAAGCTGCAAGGAGAGGCCGCTGGAAGTCCACTGGCCAGTGTTTGCTGGTCCACCTGCAGCCCTCCCCGGCTGCCTGCTACTCAGGTCTGCGGCTGCTGACCGCTGGTGGGGAGTTGACTCCTCACTGTGGAGAGGCTCTGGCGGGCCATTCCTGGGGACAGCAGTCCCCTGGTACCAGCCGGAGTGGCACTGGGCTAAGCCCCAGGGGAAGCCTCCGTGGGGTCACAGTGTACACTGTGTTCTCCGAGCACAGCTGGTGTTTTGGAAGAGTCAGGGAGGAAGGGAAGAGAAAGCGAAAG